GATAGAGAGTTAGAAACATCGATGAGAGAGAAACATCGATCAGCTGCCTCCTGCACACTCCCCACTGGGGAAGTGCCCGCAACCCAGGTACATGCCCTTGACCGGAATCGAACCCGGGACCCTTCAGTCCGCAGGCAGACGCTCTATCCACTGAGCCAAACCGGTTTCGGCATGATTTTTCTTTTTAGATGGAAGAAGTAACAGTATGTTTGTTTATAGGACTGAATCAGTAGAAAGCAAAAAATTAATGACATAGGAGAAATAGAGGAGGCTTGCTGGAGTGATATTCTTCACTGGGCCAGAGATCACATCTCCATGGGTGGTAGGATAGCCTTTAGAAAGGAGCATGGGGGGTTCGTCTGGTAACAGGTGGAAGATGGAGTGTGCTAGGACATGGTAGTGTGGTTGTGATAGTCTGCGGAAATTTTCTTCTCGTTCCTATGGTTTTCTCAGTAAAGTCACTAGCTGAGAATAAGAATGGGGGGCTCAGGAGGTTCTGGTGATTTGAGGTTAGAGAAAGTAAGAAGTAGGAGTATGAGTAAATGGACTAGGGTAGTATATTTGCTTTATTTGTAGAGTATTATGTAATCCTCAGAGAGCACATGAGTTAGCTTTGCTCTGTGAATATTAAATTTGCAACATTAATGCTTAAACTTTGAAACAAAGCCAAGTTTTTTTTTTGGTATAAAATCTCTATTGTAAGCAGCCCTTGAACTACTTAATGATATTCATCTCATATCTTTTATTTTGCAGAAAAAGTATGGACAAGCTGATGAAGATTGTAGGCATGGTATGTGTGAAAATGGGACTCTTCTTTGATTTGAAGATTTTGAATAATTTGAGCAATGTTTAAGATTTATTTTTTTCCTGATGCTAATTTCAAAAGTGATTATAAAATTTAAAAAACCCACCTTACTGTGGTGACTAGTGACTGACATGGATGATGACTTTTCTGCTGTGATGTGTGTACACACGGACATTGTTCCTAGTCACTCGTGAGTGTTGGCATTCTGGTCTCGCCCTTGGGAACATTGATAGTGTCTTTTAAAGTTTGTGTGAGTATTTTCAGGCAATAGGAGCCAAATTTTAAGAACTGTAAAAACATTGATTAAAATGTTAAGCTTGGATAAATTGAAAGGCTGGGCCTATCCCTTCTAAAAGGCTTTCCCCCTTCATTAGAAGATATCCCTTAGAGAGAAGAGACTTACTAGAATCCTAGCTTTTTGATGCTTTTTCCGTTGTATGGTTAGCTACATTTTTTTGCCCTGATTATAAAAAGTGGTACATAACATGATGCTTCTGAGGCAGTAGTACCATTTTCCCCATCTTATAGGTGGAAAAACTGAAGCAGAGAGAGTTAAGTAAATGGCTTTGTCACACAGTTATAAGTGTCAGAATCAGGGCTGACCACAAAACGTGCAAGGGGGGCTTGGTGCCGCCTGCTGGCCGGCTCTGCCCCCTGGTCACCGCCACCGGTCGCCTCCCTCTCGGGGGCAGACACCTAACTCAGGAGCTGCCCCCAGTCAGGGGCAACTCCTGAGTTAAATATCTGTCCCCTGGTTGTCAGTGTGCATCAGAGTGACTGGTTGTTCCACTGGTCGTTCTGCCATTTGGTCAATTTGCATATTAGGGTTTTATTATATAGGATTTGTATAGTAATGAGGAAGTTGAGGGACATAAATGAATTATCTCTAAAATTAAAACTGGAATATTGAAAATAAACCAGGAGAAATGACCTATGTATCTGAAGTATGAAAATATTGAGAAGGAAGGAGTCCAAGCCTCTTTACAATAAACTGCAGTTAAAGGAAAGAGTCCTTCCAAAAATCCTATATAATAAAAGCCTAATATGCTAAGTGTCCAGTCCAGTTGGCCATTTAACCAATAAAAGCATAATATGCTAATGATATGCTAAAGCTGCTCAACCCCTCTCTATGACGTGTACTGACCACCGTGGGCCAGATGATCTGACCGGTAAATTAGCTTGCTGCTGGGGTCCAGCCAATCAGGACTGAACAAGACGGGCTGGACACGGCCTGCAGCCCTCCCACATCCCTCCTCAGCCCCGATCATGCACCAGTAGGGTCCTTTGGCCTGGCCTGAGCCCTCTTGCAATCCAGACTGAGGGAACTCCCCCCCGCCATGAGTGCATGAATTTGTGCAGCGGGCCTCTAGTATGCAATAAGAGCTTAACTTTTTAAAAAAATATATTTTATTGATTTTTTACAGAGAGGAAGGGAGAGAGATAGATAGTTAAAAACATCGATGAGAGAGAAACATCGATCAGCCGCCTCCTGCACATCTCCCACTGGGGATGTGCCCGCAACCAAGGTACATGCCCTTGACCGGGAATCGAACCCGGGACCTTTCAGTCCGCAGGCCGACGCTCCGTCCACTGAGCCAAACCGGTTTCGGCAAGAGCTTAACTTTAATGCTCATTGCAAACCCAAGGAGATCATGATTTGTGTGACCGGATTAAGGACCTAATAATGAAAGGAGCAAGGTAGCAGGGATTAAAAAGAAAAGCGTATTATAGTATTTAAAGCTGAAATATTCAGAAGGTTCTAGGTATAGATAGCATTGAATAGTGTTAAGGCTTTTCATTTTCCAAAAGTATTTTATAAAGGGAACATTTTATCTATAAAAGTCTTTGGTAGGAAGGACACAGTATGCCACAACAGCTGCAGCCCACATGTCCAAAGTGTTTATTTATTACCAGAGGCCCAGCACATGAAATTGTGCGGATAGGGTCCTTAGGCATAGCCTCCTGCGATCAGGGCCATCTTCTGCCCGTTCGCCAGTCTCCAGTCCTCTGCTGCCTCCGCTGCAGGGCTGTCAGGCCATTGGGATCACCAGCTCATCCCCGGCTGCTCGGGGGCTCAGGCCTGCTGGAAAGTAGGTGCCAATGACTTCACCTCCATGCTTGTGCGCTGGGCCAGCTGCTGATGGAACGCGCTGCTCACTTAGAGCCACTCACACAGGCTCTGCTACTGCTGCCGCTACTGTTGGGGCTTGAGGTGCTGATGGATGCTGTGTGATGCACCCGCGACCTACCCACCCCGGCGTGAGCGGCCCCGAGCAGGAAGCTTGTTCCATCAGTGGCCAGCCTGGTGCACGTGTATGGAGGTGAAGTCACTGGCGCCTGCTTTCCCACAGGCCTGAGCCCCCAAGCAGCCAGGGATGAGCTGGTAATCACAACAGTCTGACAGCCAAGCCTGGTCCTCCCACCACCCATCCCTATTCCCACGTTCACCATCGCTGAGCCATCGGAGCCTGCGGGCCAGGGGCAGGGACCAAGAGGTCAGCCGTTCAACCCGCTCACCAGTCCCCAGTCCCACTCCACCCCACTTGCAGGCGGCGGGGTGGGAGGGACCAAGAGGTAGTCAGTGCCACCTTATGGTGACTAGTTGTTTGGTCATCCTGGACACTGGCTTTTTATATATATAGATAATTGGAAGAAAAGTGAGGGCAAGGGAAAAGGATCTAGGCAGAGAAGAAGAATATTGGGGGAAAACCCAGATTTGGCCAAAGGGATACTGGTCAGAGATTTGCCCCACAGTGTTCTTATGTTCTTATTCTGGGTGATGTTATACTTTTTGATACTTATAAGATATGGACATTTTACTTTCTAGTTAATACTTAGATTTACCAGTTGTACTGGTTAATAATGCGGATTTTGTAATCAAAGAAAACACGATAATTTCAAGATAAACATCAAAAGTGCTTTATTCAAAGTAAAACATGCGAAGAAGTGGAAAATTGGGTCTCTGAATGGTTTGCCTCAAAACATTGCTAGCTGCACATTTCCCCCATCCTTCAGGTAATTTGTGGATACCGTCCCAGTAGAACTTTTCTTGTTTTGAGACAAACCACCCATTTTCCTTCCTTTAAAATCTTTCCCATTGCTTGTAAACGATCGGAAATTGCTTGCTGAGCAACGTTTAATCTTTCTGCAAGTTGTTTCTTAGTTTGACATGCATCTTCATCCAATAATGCTTGTAATTGTTGGTCTTCAAACTTTTTCAGTTGACCTGGATGTTCTTCTCTTTCACATCGAAATCATCACTTTTAAAGCAGCTAAACCAGCGTTCACAAGTATCTTGAGATGCTTCCCGAAGTATACGATAACTTTCAGCAACACTTTTCTTCAGAATAAATTTCCCTTGACCAGAATCAAACCTGGGACTTTTCAGTCCGCAGGCCGACGCTCTATCCACTGAGCTAAACCAGTTAGGGCGAAATTCCACATTTTTAAGCATAAAGATATGTATGATGTTAACACCTTCAGAAAATTTGACATATGAGGTTTTGAAGCTTGCTGTCAATACAACGAAATAGCATACATATCAAATCGCATATATATCAACGGATGTGTAACTCCATCCACTGAAAAAATCCGCATTATTAACTGGTACACCTGGAAGGCCTTCCAGTGTTTGGAGTCTGCTTATATATACTACTACTACTACCCCCAAATATATTTTTGGAAAATGAGGTTTATTGCCAAACATTAAATGACTAATATTTAGGACAAGAATTTATAAATTATAAATTTATATTCTCTTAAAAATAATCTTTTTTTATTTTTGAAGTGTTGGTTCAGAGAATGTAATTATATCCAAGCAGTGAATGATTTTACTTTATTAATGACCAAAGGGTTTAGTTTTTATGGTCACTAAAATTTTCCTTTTGAAAAATTTGGGAAAAATCTTTGGGCTATGGGGGGTGAGGGAGAAAGAAAAAGAGAGAGAGCAAAAGGGAGGGAGGGGAAGAGGGAGAAAGAGAGAGAGAGAGAGAGAGAGAGAGAGAGAGAGAGACAGACATTGATGAGAAAGCGCAACTTTGATTGATCAGTTGTCTCATGTACGCCTACTACTGGGGATCAAACCCGTAACTCCTGCATGTGCCCTGACCAGGAATCAAACCAGCACCTTTTTGGTATACCATATGACACTCAACCAACTGAGCTACACTGCCAGAGTTTTATTTTCTTGTCTTTATGCATGTCTTGGACAGAACTGAAACATCACCCTTCCTCTAGTACTTGAAGTTTTTCTTTTAGTGTATAAGAAGTCATGCTTGTGATAGTGTGCCAGTATTAAAATCAGGGAAAATGTGTATTACATGTCATGTGATTAACCATGGCTGTTCTTTTCTGACAGTGCTGGGAGAAGGACTGGCCAAGGGAGATGGTGCTTTTCAGGCAGTGCTTTGCTGCATGCAACTGAAAGGAAAGCTTCAACTTGTATCCAACATTCTTGCCAAGTCACTAACAGGAGAGTCCCTGGTACGTTGATGAACTCTAATTTTTTTTCAGTGCTTTAAAAAGAAAGAAATTTATTGGGGTGGCTGGTTAACAAAATTATATAGTTTTCAAGTATATAATTCTATGATTTGTCATTTATATATTGCATCGTGTGTTTACCACCCAAAGTCAAATAATCTTCGTCGCCATATATTTGACCCCCTTTACCTTTTACTACACTACCCCCTCCACACCCTTTCCCTCTGGTAACCATCATACTGTTTGTGTCTATGAGTTTTTGTTTGTTTGACCATCCCATTTGTTCATTTGTTGCTTTCAGTTTTATATTCCACGTGTGAGTGAAATCATATGGTAATGAATTCTAATTTTGAGTGTCTGAAAAGAGATTCATGTATTTGACTCCTTAGGAATATTGTGGGGAAAAACAGTTAGTGTGCATTTTCTTTCTTATTTTCTCCTACCAGAAATGAGGTTCATAGGTACATTTCTCCTCAACAAACTGATATTTAACCATTGGATTCTTACAGTTTGTGATTATATATATTTAGGTGTGTGTGTGTGTGTGTGTGTGTGTGTGTATGTGTGTATATATATATATATATATATATAAGAATTGCAGGTGCTTTTTGAAACTTTGAAAGTGTAGGATAGCTAAATAATTCAGAACTTGAAAATATTTTTGGTTCTGTTATGTTTTAAAATTCTCCTGTGGATATACGATTTTACGGGGTCCTTAAATTTGGCCACTAATTTCATAAAATGTTTACATTTATCTAAACTATATAATAATTACTTTTATATTTGAAGAAGGTGTGGGTGTAAGTTGATATTCATGACTATTCTGATGGAGCTATTTAATTCTATTCAGACTTTGGGATTAATTTTTTTTTATGTAGCATTTAATTTTCTAGAGTTTGTTTTTGGTTGACATAATTGAAAAACTCTTTTTTGGAACTTGAGAGTTGGCAATCTATAGGAATTGGAAGATAAGAAGGTAGTATAACTCTTTTTCTCACCAGTTGGTAACTGCTATAAAATTCTCTGATATTTTTTAGGAATCATAATGAAAAACAGTGAAAGCAAGAAAGTATATGTATACTGTGCTATATAGCATGAATCCCTTATTTTATTCCCTTATTTTGAATTGATAGAAATTATGAAAATCAGGCATAAACTTGTGTTTTTAATGGAAATAAATATATTTGGTGACAAAAAGAATTTAGGAGAGTACTTGGTATACTGCTGAGTGTAATGTAATAACTCATCTCAGAGAACAGTTTATTTCTAAGGAATTATTGTGTAGTATATTGTTAATTGATTTACCATTGTTTTTTGATTTCACCAAATTCACATTAAAGGTTAAATGTATTAATATAGCAAAATGTTACAGCTCTTTAGTTCTAAGTAGGTGATAATATACCTCTGTTATTAAGAATAAGGAACCTTTTAATATAAGTTTAGCATATTGCACAGTTTTACCTATTAAGTTTTTAAACTAGGAAGAAGTAATTTGCCTTTAAATCTCAAGTGAAATTTGAATTTCAGATGAGAGAATATTTTGTATATTTTCCTTTATCAGGTTTGTTAATGAGCCAACTTTACAGTGCCATCATTATTTTATGTGAATCTGATTCATGGGTAACTGATTGAATTCACCATTTTGCAAATATAAGCTCATTAGTTTTAGGGAAAAAAATTTTTAAAAAGTTTAGGCTTATTTTTCTTTTCATTTACCCTATCTTGCTCTTTGGTGATACCCATTGTGAATATTTTATTGAATTGATTTTAAGCTCTTATGGAAGGTGAATACAGTGTTTTAGGGTACACTATATATTTTATTCTGTTAAATTAACCTTTTTAACTTTCCTTATTGATAGTTAACTTGATTATCATGATTAATGACAGGGGATGGGAGGTGAGGAGTAGCATTGTTTTCTTTACAAAGAAATAGTTGAGGAATTAAGTCCCCATAGTCAAGAACTAATATACTAATCGGTTTTCCCCTTTTTTATTTACCTTTTCAGAATGGGATGGTAACAAAAGATTTAACAAGACTAAAAACACTTCTCACAGAAACAGAGGTAAGACTATTTCGCTGGATTTCTTTGGAATGTTTAACTCAGTCTGGCTAGTAAGTGTTTTGTATTAAATTTTGGAAAATCATTGGGCATTGACTAAGACAGCAAGGCTGTAAAGGTGGGGTAGTGGAACCTTCTGACCCTTTATAACCTAGCTTGTGAGTCGTATGCAAATGTAGATATTAGTAAAATTTTATTTTTAATATTTATAATACTGTGACATTTAAGGTCACAAATATCACTTGACTTTTATTTTGTGACTGTACTTTTGGAAATGATTTAGTTTTGTATATAATTTCTTTTTAAAAAAATATATATTGATTTCAGAGAGGAAGGGAGGGAAAGAGAGGATTTTGGAGAGAAAGGGAGAGAGAGAGGAAAACATCAATGATGAGAGAGAATCATTGATCAATTTCCTGCTGCATGCCCCCCACTGGGGACCGAGCCCACAATCCAAGCATGTGCCCTTGACCAGGAATTGAACCTGGGACCCCTCAGTCGGCTGATGCTCTGTTCCCTGAGCCAAACCGACTAAGGGCAGTTTTGTTTATAATTTCTTTTTTATGTAACCAAAGTAGTATTCTTTTGGTTAGTGAACTGAAATTATTTTTAAAAATCCATCTAGAAAAAGTTAATGAACAATGCTTCTCTTACTTATTATTGCACATGACATTTAAAAATAGCTACAATTTTTATTTAAAGACTAGTAGCCCTGCACATGAATCCATCCGCCAGTAGCTTGCTGCTGTCCTCCTGTAGCTCTCCGCTCGCTGCCCCACCCTCCTGCTGATCTGGTTGTGATGCGGTCGGTTGTTAGGCTTCATGGCGTAAGGACCATTTGCATATTACATCTTTATTATATAGGATTGGGCTGAGCTGGTATTTAACTTGTAAATGCTAGTGGATGAGGATAAAGATATGGAACTGAGGGCTAGCTAATGGGAACAAAAACAATACATATTAGTAAAATTTAAAATATCAAATCAATAGATTTGATGGTGAATTTATAGGAATTCTAGCAATATGAAATTTGGCTGCTTTCCCTGAAGGCATCAATGACGACTGAAGATCATAAGCTAATTCATATTGCCCTTCTGTCTTGGGATCCGAGCACATAAAAAAACCACACAACCAAACATGGTACTTTGGAACCTAAAACCAATGGTGACCAAATACTCATCAAGGCCAAGTTTCTCTCTCTCTCTCTCTCTCTCTAATCCAGCTCTGAGGTTGTGTGTTTGAGACCCTCCCAGCCTGCAAGTTGTCGTGTAGCTCAGGCTTCCTCTGCCCCTTCGCAGACCATTGCAGATGCTGATGCGGGAAACATACCGTGTGTTTTTCCCTTCTGACAATTAACAATCATAAATGTTTTAGCCTTCATTTTATGACCAAAACATGTTATGCCCATCTTTTTTGCATATTTGATAAATTTATTTTGATAAATATTTTAGAGGGGATCCTTTAAATTCATACTTGAAGGCAAGTTTTTATATTTATATACTAGAGGCCTGAGCATGAAATTCATGCAAGAGTAGGCCTTCCTTTCCCCAGCTGCTGGCACCGGCTTCCCTCTGGCACCCGGGACCCGGGCTTCCCTGCATTCTCCAGCAGGCACCTGGGACCTGGGCTTCCCTTGCAGTCCTGGTTTCATCTGGAAGGTTGTCCAGAAGGACATCTGGTCTAATTAGCATATTATGCTTTTATTATTATAGATTCTGTGTAGATGGAATCATTTTTTTAAGGGCAGGTGTGGGACTATGGCATTTAGAATTTGCTCATAAAATTTGAAGAGATCTTTTAATGTATCTTTTCTTGCGAGAATAGAATCCTTCTAATGTGAGCAATTACAACTGATTTGTTAGCTTATGCATTCTTATATACAGTCCTCATTTTACAAAAAGAATGGGTTGTCTTTAAAAACTTATTAGTAAGCAGTGTTGAGAATAAGAAGGCATTTTCCAGTAGAGTTATTATAGTGATTCAGTTTCAGCCCAACCTAGAAAGTCCAATTTAATTAACAACATGTGAATTATAGTGATATTATTGTTTCAGTTATACCCAATTAGCATTTATGACATTCTTTCTATGGTACAAGACATTCCAAATTTCACCTTGGGATATCATTTCCTCCTCCTGATTCAGTTCAGCATTTACTGTGTGCCTATGCTGTTCAAGGTTCTGTGGGTTTTGAAAGCTGAGGTATTAATGAAAAACAATCCGATGGACCAGTCCAAGATGCATAAGCTACTGTACCCAGAGGGCAGCTTGTGGGCAGTAAGTGCTGAATAATGGAAGTACAGGCAGGGAAAGAAGAGGCGAACACTCTGGGGAAACCAGGGAGGCAGGAATGTGGGAACTGAGGTCAAAGGATCGAGGTAGCTAAGTGAAGACCCAGAGGTGACTTGGCGCAGGGTACGATTGGCAATCAGTTGGTTAAAGGATAGATGAGACAGGTAGTAACGAGGGCCTTACCTAGGACGGCCTTACCTAGGACGTGGCAGTGGGAGTAGAGAGTGTAAGAGACATTCTACACCTGGTTGGGCAGGGTTTGGAGAATACTCAGAGCAGGACAGAAGAGGAAGAGTTCAAGATGTTTTTTTTTTTTTTTTAAATATATATTCTATTGATTTTTTACAGAGAGGAAGGGAGAGAGATAGAGAGTCAGAAACATCAATGAGAGAGAGACATCGATCAGCTGCCTCCTGCACATCTCCCACTGGGGATGTGACCGCAACCCAGGTACATGCCCTTGACCGGAATCGAACCTGGGACCCTTGAGTCCGCAGGCCAACGCTCTATCCACTGAGCCAAACCGGTTTCGGCCAAGATGGTTTTCTTAATTTCAGTCCTCTCTTTGGGGAATTGGAGTGGATGAATTTGAAATAAGGAGCAGAGAAAGAGGATGAGATTTGCAGTAAAGTTGATGAATTTTGTTTTGGACATATTGTGTTCGAAGTGCATCCAGCCATTCATCCACCATTTACTGAGTACCCAGTATGTGCCAGATCCCCTGTGAGGGGCGGGAACGTAAAGGGGAAGTTGCAGGATTTTGACAATGATCTGTACATGGCTGGCAGTGATCAGCATGTAAAATGTTGTAGAATAGTTAATAGAAAGTGCTATGGGTGGCACTCATTTGGAATTGTGGGTGTGGAGCTTAGAGTAAACTTAGAGTCAAAGGGACAGATTGAGGATTTATCTGCACCAAGGAAGTCAAGAAAACCAGCAGGTCAGAGTGAGTGGGTCCCCTCTGTGGTCTCCATTGTGGAGAAGAGCTCATCCCCTAGTGAGGGGGACTTAGTGGGATGTGCTCCGAGGCCCCAAGTGGCGCTCCGCTTGATAGAAGAGAAAAGGCTAGTTGGTCATTCTCTGGGTGTTTGGAAGAGGAGAGTGAAAAGAGTAAGTGGATGGAAGGCGCTACTCTGTGGGTTCCTGATTGGGGACTTAGACCTTTGTTCTTTTGCTACCAGGTAATTTTTATGTAGGAAATCTTATCAGTGTTCTTAATGAGGGCCACACAATTACTCTTTTCTGTGTTTAAATATAGTTTAACATAGAGCAAAACATGTCTGAGATATTAATGTTAAATTTTTCTAAGTATTCAGACTCAGGCTTTAAAAAATATTGAAAATGTCCAAGTTTAATTCGACATCAATTGGATATTTCTTATTATAAAAATATCTTTCATTTCAAAAATTGCAGACAGCAACTAGTAACGTCCTCTCTGGATATCACGTGGAAGATTTAGAAGAGGGTAAGTACCAAACTTTGCATAACTTCTAGTAACTGTGATCTGGACATTGCTTTTTAATTGATTATTGGGAGGAAATTTATTGAGTTACAATACATGGAAGTGGAGTTGTAGGAGAGAATATAAAAATAAAAAAATTTAATTCTAAAAAATGCGTGGATGATAGCAATTCTTTTCACTGGCCCCTTTCCTTAGAATAATGAAGTAATGGTGGTACAAGGTAGCTCTAAAGGTTATCTATTTCATTTTCTTGCCTCCACATAGTTTAAAACTCATTCTTAGCAGTCCTTAGAGGGGGGAGTCTTTCCTCCTCTCTCTCAGGCCAGTACAATTAGTACTTTTTGGAAGTTCTAATCTGTGAACTGAGTTGTTCCTGCCACCACTAAAATCTCCTCTTGCCAGAGGGAGGGGAAGAGAGACCCGCCTTCACTGAGTGCTTGCTGGATACTGTGGACGGCTGTAGTGGCTTTCGCCAAATGTGTAATGACTTCTTAGAGCCCTTCCACATTTTTTTGAGAGGAGATGAAACGGATATTTACCAAGGTCCAGCAATTTCCTCAGTCACACAGCTAGTAAGGGATGAAACCCAGCTTTAAATTCAACCTGGCTGAATATTTTTTGATGGAGCAGGGAGGCACAGTGACTCATGAGGGAGTAAGGTATAGGTAATGGCTCTGAGGTTCTTGGAAACTTGTCCTGCTCAGCCTCTGTAACTCTAGTGTTTTCTCGCTGAAGCCCTGTTTTCCCTGGTTTAGTATATTCTAAACCAGGGGTCCTCAAACTACGGCCCGCGGGCCACATGTGGCCGGCCGAAAACATTTATCCCGCCCGCCGGGTGTTTTTGCCGCCGCTGCCTGTTGCTTAGCAGCCGACAAGTTTTTTTTTTAAACTATAGTCTGGCCCTCCAGCGGTCTGAGGGACAGTGAACTGGCCCCCTGTTTAAAAAGTTTGAGGACCCCTGACTGGGTGTTTTTGCCGCTGCTGTGGGCATAGGAATTTGTTCATAGTTTTTTTTTAAACTATAGTCTGGCCCTCCAGCGGTCTGAGGGACAGTGAACTGGCCCCCTGTTTAAAAAGTTTGAGGACCCCTGTTCTAAACAAATTAAAGCTCATTGTATTTAGAAGTAAACATGTAATTTTTTTTAGCTCCTACCTTAGAATTCAACTTTTTGAACTTTATTTCAGTTGTGAAAAAGGATTACTTTATGCAATGACATGTCAGACAGATCCTGAGGAACATGGGTAGTGACGTGGAACTTCTCACTTCGTATTCAGTACTGGAATTTGTTTTCTAAAATTTCCTCCCAGGATACATAATTTTCTCATTCCTGAAGTATTCCTAGTAGAGACACATCTCATACTTGAAAAATGATAAACATGCCAACATTCCCCCCGTTAGTTGTTTGAAAGAGACTGCACTGGAAATATGCCCACCAGTTGCTAGGATAGAGTCAGGGACATAGATTTGACTTAGCTGCTTGGTAACTGCTTCTTCAGTGATTTTTAAGTTTCATATGGTTGATTTAACTCACTTGATTGGTCAATTACTTTTTTGGTAGAGGCAAGTGTATCATGTTCTTTTTACATCATCTGGGATGATGTGTGTGGAGGGTTTATAGAATTTTTTACACATTAAAATATCAGAATTATTAGCAAGCCTCAAATGATAAGACTATATCCTGATTACTCTCTAGGATCTTGTAATGGTTGGCATTTCCGCCCACCACCTAGGGGAATCACAAGCAGCGAGGAATATACTTTGTGTAAAAGGTAACGTGAATTTTTTTTTTAAACCCATGACATGTTTTTATTCAAAGGATAGTTAATTTTCCTTCACTTTTTTAAAGAAAATATGTGAAGGAAGAAATATAATGATTGAGTAAAATGGTTTATTTTCAGTTTGAAACAGAAGCCATGATGGTCATTATTATTAAAAAATAAAAATCAAAGCCATATTGATGAGCCTTCTGTTAATTACAAAAACAATGATATAAATGGAGATTGTTTAGAAGTCTCTTATAATACCAGTTGGATTAATATGACTGAATTTAATTGCTGGTCTCTTGCTTATGTGAAATTTATCTGTTATGGTCATTGAAATTATATAAACTGAAATAGAAGATAAAATAGATGAAGAATTGTTAAATTATTTTAATAACCTTTTTAAAAATATACTGTCTTAATGTACCTTATAAAGAATTTGAGTAATTTATATTTGAAGGGCTAACCTTTCAGAACTTAATAATTATGTATTGAGTGGAAAGAATTATTAGTCACATTTAGAAAGGTGAACCCTTCAGTTCTTTTTATAAGCACTAGTAACTAGTGGGATTTTAGATATAAAACCTCATTACTATAGAATGCTTTTGATAATGAAGAAAATTTGATATGTAATGTTGATGATTGAATAGTTAAGACATCAGATTTGATTTTATAGTAGAAATAAACAAAGTAGTGAATTTTGAAAATCCTGGTGGCATCCTGTTGTAGGAGAGTTAGATAACAATCCAGTTATGCAAAGGAAATGTAAGGAAATTTATAGTCCAAATGAGAATATCCAATCTTCAGTTTCTAGGGAAATAATTTAAAATACAACAATAGAAAGTTGAAATATTTGGCTCACTAAGACATACTTAAGAGAAATAAATGCATGGTTTTAAAGATGTTTTATGATGCATAAGAGAACTTCATAAGTAGTACAATTTAAGTTCAAGTGCTTTGTATATCATCAAGAAAAGCTTTATGTATACTTGTCTTTTCAAATAAAGTGAGCCATTTGATAATTTATTTTTTTATTTTTTAAATATATTTTATTGATTTTTTACAGAGAGGAAGGGAGGGAGATAGAGAGCTAGAAACATCGATGAGAGAGACATCGATCAGCTGCCTCCTGCACATCTCCTACTGGACATGTGCCCGCAACCCAGGTACATGCCCTTGACCGGAATCGAACCCGGGACCTTTCAGTCCGCAAGCCGACGCTCTATCCACTGAGCCAAACCGGTTTCGGCCATTTGATAATTTAAATTGTGCTGTGTTTCATTTTGTATTTCTTACTATCCATATCTTACCAGTTGAAAAACTATGATATAATATCACTCTTGTCTTCATTTTGCTATTTATAGTTTAATTTTCTTATCATAAGTAAGATGCTTTATTATGCTTCAATCATTTAAAAATTGGTTGGACCCATAATTCTGCAAGATATTTAAAACTTAAAAAAATGATTGATCAGCATCTTGCATTTTTATCAGTTTTTGACTGAATTGTCAATTTAATTTTCTGAGTTATAAACACTGAGAGACTATTAGTTCTATAACCTTTAAAATGAACATTTATGAATTTAGCTATTAAAGAATTTAATCTCTTGAATTGTAATTCTAATATAAAACTTTTAATCTTTAAAACTTCAAGCAAATTAGTCCAATATTTTCAGTGAAATATTGGTAATAGTAATAGAGAAAAGAGTAAAAGTAAAAAGTAGAAGCCTTAAAATGATAAGTTACTGATATAGTAAAGTTTTTCCAGAATGAAATTCTTTGTGGAACCTTTTCTTTAGGTCGTATCATTTTGGGGAGTAGGGCATACCTGTGTTTGACGAGCTAATCCACTTGATGTCAGTGTTGCTGTAAAAAATGCTGCTCTAAGAGGAACTGATAGAGTTGTTACATCTCGAAGGAAGCTACCTTTTCGGTGGTGGTTTTTGGGGGTGGGGTGGTTATGATTATGCTCTGCTTTAGCACCCCCTTACTCTCAAGGAGAAGGTCAGTTAATATGGGGAGTTGCTGTTTTGACGAACTATTGTAAATGTTCTCTAAACCTCTCCTTCCTCCTCTGTGCAAGACACTATGATAAATATGGCCTTTCAGGAGACTAAGTTTTGTTTTTGTTATTGAAGAGTTGGAGGGAAAATGCTGAAAGTTTATCTTTTAAATGGTCCAACAAAGTATATGATAAAACAGTCTTTCCTATTCTACTTAGATTTTTAGAGCAAGGAATCTGTAGGTATGGTGCCCAGTGTACTTCAGCACATTCCCAGGAAGAACTAGCAGAATGGCAGAAAAGATATGCTTCACGGTTGATAAAATTGAAACAGCAAAATGAGAATAAACAGTTCTCAGGCAGTTACATGGAAACCTTGATAGAAAAGTGGATGAATTCATTATCTCCTGAGAAAGTGGTGAGGAAAATAAACTGCATTTTTTGTTTGTTTGTTTTAAATAATGATTTTGTTTGAGTCTTGACTTTATTTTGTGCTATATTTTGGTTTATTTCATTATCCTCTATATGAAGAGCTTGATTCTTGATAAAGCGTTTTTAGTAGCAAAAGTAGAGCTGTTTGCTAAAAAATAAAGAGTAAAAACTAAGCCGTTTGGAGATTTTGTAGGCATTATATTAATTTATTTTCATTCACGGAGTTTTTACTGCCATTTTTTGTTTGTTTTCTATGTCTCTTATTTTAGCTTTATTATATTTTGTAAGAACAAAAAACTGAAAATTAATGTATAAGACACTTTGCTTTGTAAACAGTTCCATCACATCTTACTGTTGACATTTAACGTATTTAGTATGCCAGAAGTTTGGTATGAGCTTTTAGGAATAGAGATGTAACATTAGTTGCTCTCTGTTTTCAGCTTAGTGAATGTGTTGAAGGAGTAAAGGTAGAGCATAATCCTGATCTGACGGTTACTGTCAACACCAAAAAGTCTCACCAGACATGGACTTTTGCTCTCACCTGTAAGGTATGAATTTTGTGCTACTCAAATAATGTGAATTTTTTCCAATTTTTTTAAAACCTTTAAATTTCTGTGTTAAAAGAGCATTGAAAATGTTTTAATCTAAGTACATTTTAATGTAGGTTCTATGTTATTCTAACGTGTATTTCTGTATTTTGATCGTTAAAGGTACAATTTTTGTTTTAGATTTTGAGATAAAATCTTCCTAGATGTTTGATGCTTGCTCATTTATTTATTGATTTGGTAAAGAGGTCTTCGATTTCTTGTCTTCCAAACTTGGAACATGGGATGGGGTTCATGGCTTATAATTAACTATTTAAAAATCGAGTTGTTTAATCGGGCAGTTCTAAGATCTTAAAATAATGGCAACTTATTTTTATGTTTGATTTGATGAAATCACAAATTCTATAATAATGGGGTTATAAAATGAGACATTTCACAGTACATCCCATCTTGAAGTAAAATATTCAGACTTTAAGAATGAAGCAAAGTAAAAATTTCTGTAAATATATGCAGTGGAAAAGTTTGTGTACTTTTTGGTGGCATTTCTTCCACTGTACCATGTGCATCTTGGGATGAAAAATCTGGGAACATTTAGCTTCAGCCTTGAACCCATTCCAGTACTTTCAGGGGTAACTGCCCGCCTGTGAAGACTTCCTACTTGAGGATAGGTAAAACTTTTAGGCCAAGGGCATGGAAAGTTGGAGGTTGATGGTCATACAGAGTGATAACCTTTGCCACAGTGAAAGGTGAACATATCACAGAAAAGAGCAGGGGAGCTAGTGATGTAGCATAAATATATCATTTTTAAAAAATTTCAGCTTTATTGAAGTATAATTGACATAAATATATTATTTTTTAACAACATATTTTTTAAAGTCATTATGATTTTTTTCCTTAAATGGCTTATGAGCACAATTTGTATTTTTAAAATATTATCTTAGAAGCATGGGAAAGTAAAATTCCCTTATGGAAATATTTTCGTTGAAGAGCCCAATTACAATTGGATTTTTCACCCCCTTGTACTCAATGAATTATTTTAACTTCCTTGTAGCCTGCAAGAATGCTGTATCGTGTAGCATTGCTTTATGATGCTCATCGTCCTCATTTTAGTATCATTGCAATATCTGCCGGAGATAGTACTACCCAGGTATCACAAGAAGTCCCAGAAAACTGTCAAGAATGGATAGGAGGAAAGATGGCCCAAAATGGATTAGATCATTACGTGTATAAAGTCGGGATAGCATTTAACACAGAAATATTTGGAACTTTTCGCCAAACCATAGTTTTCGACTTTGGATTGGAACCAGTACTCATGCAAAGAGTAATGATTGATGCAGCTTCTACAGAAGGTAATATTTAGACTTTTTCCCCCTGATACAATGTTTTAAAAGAGACGCTCATAACAACATTGAAAGATATGTATTGGCCCCTCTATGTTCCATGAATAGGGAGTGAATAATTAGGGGAAAAAAAATCTCAAATTAATTGACTCATTTACTATGTAATAGGATTAGAATGGTTCACATTATGCCCTTTCTCTTTATACAGTCATCAGGCAAAGCTTGTATGAGTAGATGATCAGGTCTGTCTTGGTCTCCCAACTTCATTTTTAAAGTAGGATGACTTTAGCACAATAAAAGCTTTTTTTTTTTTTAAAAAAAATATTTCTTTATTGATTTCAGAGAGGAAGGGAGAGGGGAGAGAGAGAAACATCAATGATGAGAGAGAATCACTGATCAGCTGCTTCCTGCATGCCCCCACTGGGGATCGAGCCCGCAGCCCAGGCATGTGCCTTTGGCTGGAATCGAATCTGGGACCCTTCAGTCCGCAGGCTCTATCCACTGAGCTAAGCCGGCCAGGGCTCAATAAAAGCTTTTAATATTGCTTTGGATAGAGTATAATTTTAATGGTAATCATGAGTACACTTACAGTGTCTATTTCTATGTTTGACTGACTGTCCAATTAACTTTGATGATGTTAGTGCATTATCTCTGAATGAAAAGTCCTAAATATAAGCTTTCATAGGTTGGTTTTGTACATTCACTAGTGTAAAGGAGACCCAGGTGCCTTTGCACCCAGGTGCCCTTAGGAAGAAGTCCGTGGCTTCAACATGTAAGCACCTGTAGAAGACGATGAATTTCCTTGTACATTACCATATTGCTGCATACACTTAAATACTATGCCAGAATCCAAAAGAAAAGGTCACATTAGCCTACATTTCTTTGGCGCTTGGTTGGATATATAGGTGCTTTATTTTATTTACTAAATACTAAGTATTAACAAACACTTCATGTAGCAGAACTGTATGAAACTTGCTTTGGTATTGACTAACTCACCATATTGGGGAGGATGTTTTTTCCTTTGTACCCCCGTCCCTTTTATAAGAACTAAAATTTGTTTTTTTCATGAGCAAATGCTAGGATTTAACTTTTTGGACATAGCAAACAGGTGGCATTGGTTCTGTCTCCTTTACTTGAGCTGCTAGTAAGGTTAAAGCAACATTTGTGTCCAAATTGAACAATTATTCCCTTGTATGTATGCTAATATTATTTCCCAGACTCTTTCCACCTTGATTTCCCACTTTCTTTGATTTATTTTACTTGTGTTTATTCTGTTGTATTTTGTTTTTGTCATCTTAGTAATCTTTGAAATCAAAATGTTATTTCTCATAGTCACATAGCTGTGATCATTGACAAAATGAAAATATTTGGTTTATATTTACTAATATAAATTCTTTTTCTGTAAAGGGCCAGATAATATGTAAGTGACTGGCGTGACTATATTACAATAAAACTATTTTCAGTAACAGCAGCAGGCTGGATTTGTCTTGCACTCCATGGTTTGCCTATTCCTGTACTAGTAAGTTGCTTTTAGAGACTAGAACTTGAGATAACCAGGGAGCACCCTTTTTCAATCATAAGGAGATTTAAATCAAGAGAGAGCAACATGCATCCCTTCCCCAAATAGAATTCTGAAAAGATGTCTTGGCTTACATGTTGGCTGTATTTTAAAAGTTTGCTTTTAGATTGGTGGATTGTAACGCATGACTCATTTCTCATAGAAATAGTTTGTGTTGTCAAGAATCTGTACGAGCTAATAAAAGTTTGTTTAATAATATAAAGTGTTAAATGTCTGAAGAGGATTTCAGGCACCCCCATGGACTTGAGGGATTAAGGTTACTTTGGCTACTTGTTCTCAGATATGTTCTACTTTTCTAGTTGGAGAAAAAGAGCAGTGGAATAGACCTCACAGTCAAATAAAATTGGATTTGAATCCTGATTTTCTATTTATTACCTGCGTGACCCTGGGCAGAGTACTTAACAATACTATAGCCTACCTTTTTAAAAATAATACTATAAAGTGACCTCTTTGCAGTTTGATATCTTTGCCTATTGTTTTTATTTTATTTTTTAAATATATTTTATTGATTTCTTACAGAGAGGAAGGGAGAGAGATAGAGAGTTAGAAACATCGATGAGAGAGGAACATCGATCAGCTGCCCCCTGCACATCTCCCACTGGGGATGCGCCCGCAACCCAGGTACATGCCCCTGACCGGAATCGAACCCGGGACCCTTCAGTCCGCAGTTTGCCTATTGTTTTTAATGAGTACTTAAAAATATGTTTTTATTGATTTCAGAGAGAGGCAGGGAAAGGAAAGAGGGGTAGAAACATCAATGATGAGCGAGAATCATTGATCAGCTACTTCCTGCACTTCCCCTGCTGGGGATTGAGCCCACAATCTGGGCTTTGAACTGTGACCTCCTGGTTCATGGGTAGACACTCAGTCACTGAGCCACACCAGCCAGGCTGCCTATTTTCTTTTAAACAAGATTTTACTTCTACATAGTTAAGGAAAATAGTTGAGAAAAGTTAAACATTTTCGTGAACTAATTTGGGTACATTGAAACAGTTTCACATAATGAAATTTGTTTTTCAAGGACCGGAAAAATAAAATTCAGGAGAACAATACAAAATGTGCAAAATATATTTTATGATACGAGATTTTAACATTATAAAAAGGAAAACAAATCTAGGTTTAGGCAAGCGGGGTGACATTTGGTTGATTATTTTGTCATTGCTTAAATTAGCTGACCTGGTTGTACTAATGTTTCTTTGTCAGATACTTTTTAAATTCTTTTAAAAAAAATTTTCATTGTTGAAAGTATTATATATGTTGCCTTTCCCCCTCACTTTTATATTGTTAAAATTGATGTCATTGAATATCTTGATGTTTTTTGTTAAGTTCTTAAATTTTTTATTGTGTGACTGTATTTGTTTCAGTGTGACTGTGTACAGAGTCCCAACAGAATTTTGGAGAAATGAAAGTAGGACATAAACAACAATATTTGTTTCCTGCGTCTATCTTAGTACTAGTTAGTGTTTTTTGATTATTATAGCAGAATGCTT